GAGAGAGAGAGAGAGAGAGAGAGAGAGAGAGAGAGAGAGAGAGAGAGAGAGATGAGAGGAATTAAAGGGCTAACTTCCAGCAACTTTTCGATCAGACAGCAATCAGAATGGTCCCAGATTTGCTTTTCTTCCGGGCTGATTGTTGAGGTTTTCCCGGCCTCTCCTTTTGTGTGGACATAATAAAGAGCAAGTTTCTTTGTAAAAAAAAAAAAAAAAAGAAAGAATGGGAAGAGTGTGGCGATGAACCAGTGTGTATCTGAATGGAAGACTGTTCTGAAGTACGGCAGGTAAAGTACACGGAGTGTGATTGAGCTCATTGGAGATTAGTGAGCATTGGTTTTTGCTCACCTTGACAGAGTAGATGGTATAGAAGAGGGGATGATAATCTTCCGTTTCTCCTGTTAGTACGGATGAGAAGGAGAGTCCTGCGTCGGCTTTGACTACTATCTGTGTTGTTTAATGTTGATGTACCTTGTGAGGCGGTACATAGTTGCCTAGAATAGACTTAGTCCAGATGATTTATGGATCTAACAGAGGGAAGGTCTTGCTGAGAGTGGGCAGTTAGAGGCATAGCGTTGAGGCTAACCAGTTAAAAGTTTTCTGCTGCCCCTTGGTTGGAGAAGAGGTATGGGTTGCAGCATGTGCGTGTACTTTGATCTTTATGTATATGAGACGCTGGACCCGTTCTCCAGCACGTGCTGCGCCCCACGAATAGATGGAGCCGTGAATTGATTGTGTAAAAAAAAACAAAAAAAAAACAGCTTTTCCGCGGTCCAGTCAGGGCTGCAGTTTGAAATGCAGTTCAAACTCCGAGTTGTGGAAAAGTGGCGTGCCGCGGAGTTTAAAACTGCAATGCAGTCAGCGACGGGGGAGGGGCCAGTAGAGGCCCTTGCACGGACCTTGAAAAAGCCTTCTGTTTTTGAGTGTATCATCGCACATTCAAGGACCTATATATTCGGGAAATTGATAGTTTGAAAATGTGCACGCGCACACACACACACAGACATTCTGAGCTCTCTCTCTCTCTCTCTCTCTCTCTCTCTCTCTCTCTCTCTCTCTCTCTCTCTCTCTCTCTCTCTCTCTCTCTCTCTCTCTCTCTTTGCATGCACGCTAGCGATTCCGGGCATGTATCGGACCTTGAATGTGGGCTCACTCACACATTCTAAAACAGTAGTTCACACGAATGTGCACGCAGAGACAGAGAGAGAGAGAGAGAGAGAGGGGAGGAGAGAGGCTCGCCCCCTTGGCTGACTAGATTGCAGTTTGAAGTCGGGTGATGGCCCCGGTACCTCAATTGGTTCTGTATAAACTACCAGTACCTTTCCCCCGCTTGGGATCTGGGGCGGGGCGGTAAACATGGAGGCCCGAGTTGGCCTCCGACCGCGCTTGGCGCGCATCACCGGCGACCAATGTTTGAGAAAGGTACTGGCGGTATAAGCTCTTATGGGACACTGAGCCCGTTTCCCAGCACATGCTGCTCCCCACCAATAGATTTGAGCACTGTTTAAAACAGGGGGAAAAAAAAAACAAAAAAAAAAACAGAAGTTTGGGTGAGAGTGAGAGGTCCAATTTCCCCCCCAAAAAAGACAGAAAAAGAAGCGCAATTTTCAGAGATGGATTTTATTTTTTTTCTCTTTTAAACCACACCCCCACCAGTGCTAGTGCTGCTGATAAGAGCAGACCCCGCTAGCACCTGGGGGGAGGCTCGATCTATTGGTGGGGAGCAACACCTGCTGGAAAACGGGTCCAACGTCCCATACATGAACAGAAGTCAGAACATAACAGAAATACACAGATACAGGGTATTCCTGCCAGCATTGATTACCCTGGGACCCAGGGGATTGACTGAGCAGGATATTGGGGGGGGGAGGAGGAACCTCTTTGCCTTGAACCAGGCGCCGGCTACCTGCTGCTACACGCTAGTCCCTCCCTCCCCCTACCATTGAGATACCCTTTATTGATGCTGCTGAACTGCTCACACCGCTCCGTGCATGTCCCTTACCCTTTTTTTTTTTTTTTTTTTTTTTTTTTGAGACGATGCTCCAATCTATTCGTGGGGAGCAACACGGCTGGGAACTGGGCCCAGCGTCCCTTATCAGAATACAAAAATGAACTACCGGGGCCATTACCCGGCTTCGGTAAGAACAATTAAAGAAAAAG